TCTCTCTCTCTCTCTCTCTCGCTCTCGCTCTCGCTCTCTCTCTCTCTCTCTCTCTCTCTCTCTCTCTCTCTTACTCTACCTTGAAGTTGATGATGTTGCTGTAGGTGACGGTGACGGTGTCATCGCTGAATGGCGTGCGTCCGTACACCATCTCATAGGCGACAACGCCGACCGACCACCAGTCGCACGCCTCCCCGTACGCCGCGCCCGCGCCGCTGCCGCCGCTGTCGTCGTGGTCGAGAGTGGTGAGCACTTCCGGAGCGACGTAGTCCGGCGTGCCGACCGGCATCTTAGCGGTCACCTGCGAGGACGGAGAGATAGAGGGCGTGGGTGAGCACGCGAGGGGACCGCAAACGGGAGCAGGAGGGTACTGGAGGAGTAGGTGGTGCTAGAGAGACTGTATGAGAGGAATAGAGAATGCTGGAGGAGTAGAGGGGACTGCAAGGGGGAGCGGGAGGGCACTGTATGAGGAGGAATAGCAGGTACTGGAGGAGTAGAGGGTACTGGAAGAGGATTAGAGGAAACTAGAGGAGGAGGGAATAGAGTACTGGAGGAATAGAGGGTACTGGAGAAGGAGCAGAAGGTACAGGAGAAGGAGTAGTGTACAAGAGTAGAGGGTAGAGGAGAAGGAGTAGTAGATACCTGAGGAGGATTAGAGAGTACTGGAGGTGGAGCAGAAATTACAGTGAATTCACCCCGAGTCACACGACGCATCGGTGCAACGGAAACCTCGCACATTCCTGCCTTACACGTCACCCGCTGACCCAACGTTCAATCTACACTCCTCTATCTCTCCAATTTACCATGCCTAACCATCACATACTACGTCTGATGGCATTCGCACGCGCAGGAGACAGACGCGGTATGTTAGCGGCGTGACGCGTTTTCTGTACCTTTCTGTTGACGGACAGCTTTGCGGCGGAACCAAAGTCTGCGAGCTTGATGTGTCCGACTCTATCGATAAGCACGTTGTCGGGCTTGATGTCCCTGCAAGATGGCGCCACGTGACATCGCAACTCTACTGCTTGCCCGTCACCAACGATAATGTCGCAAATCCACACAATGTTAACTAAATTGTACCTACGACGATGATCACTTAATTAGCCATCACTACAGACTTACTATCAATCATTTACTTTGTTAACTTTACCGCAGACACTCGCCGTCGATCGAGAAATGCCGGCGAGTGCTGCGACCCGTGAAAAGACATTGCTCTTAGCTGTACGTCCAGCCCTATTCTCCACGAGGAGAGAAGGAACTAAGATGAAGAAGAAGAAGAAGAAGAAGAAGAAGAACCGCTCGCGCCGTCTGACCTTAATGCTGGTGACACGTTAACTCCTTACTGTAGAAACAACATACAGGGTACAGGGGTAGAAATTAACTTTCGAACACGGGCGTCCAACGTACCCTCAAACAGAGGAAGTCCGCAGTCTGAGGTTCAAAATTAAAGATATTAAAACAATAACGCATGTGCTTATTTTTAAGATTCATGCGGTTGCACGTCTGCCAAATTTTCTTTGGACATTGGCTGAAAAAATACGGTAATTCCACGAGGCTGTGCTCTGGAACGAACTAGTTAGTATGGCAAAATTTTCAGGGACTGGAGTCACACGGACTCCTGCATGTGTCAAATCAGGGAGTCCGACAGTAAATCAGGGAGTATTTGACTCCGGACTCCCGTTAATTTCGCACACTGTGAGTATGAGGTTGCACAGTCTTACTTTGCCTTACTTGTATACATGTATAGTATATATATATATATGTATACAGTAGTATACAGTATAGAAGTCGTGCAGGGGTGGCGTTACCTTGCTCGATTTTTCCTTCATGTCGACGATCTTGCCCTTCAGCTGCTTGATGCAGGAGCGCTGCTCTCTCAGCTCTCCCTCGGCCTTCTCCTTCTCCCTCACCGCGCGGTACCGCTCCTCCTCGATCTCCACCACCTCCCCCTTCAGCTGTTCCACCTCATCTCTACAGCAACGACACGTCACGTGTGAGTAACGGCGAAGATGGGGATAAAAGGATAATAGAAATATAGAGGTCAGGCAGATAAGGGTATAATGGGATTAGGGAATGAGGTGGATATGGGAATTGGGAGGATCAGGGGATAATGGGAATAAGGGGTTAGAGGGATAATTAGGGAATGGGTTGTTTACTTAATAACTGAGACAAGATACCATTGACAGGTTTTTTGCCAACACTGACCACCACGAGATGAGGTCAGAGATCGAGTCAACATCTCATCGGCAACAGAGGCGCGCATCAGAGAGCAAGAGGCCATACAGATCACAAAGATTTTAGAGGTCATAGAGGTCACTGAGATCATAGAAATCGTACAGGTCATATAGATCATATAGATCATAGAGACCGTAGAAGTGGCACAAATCACAGAGGTAATAGAAATCGTAGATAGAGGTCAGCAGCGGGGCGCGTACCTGAGCTGCTGCTGCGAGAGCTCGATCTGCATCTGGTGCTTCTCCCGTATCTCCTGCAGCAGCCTCAGCGCCTTCTCTTCCATGACGGCCTTCTCCTGCTTGTACGTGTCCATCGACCGCCGCAGCGTCTGCTCGAGAGAGAAGGAGAGAGAGAGGAAGAATAGAGACGCGCGTTCTCACATGTTGTATGTATGAGAGAGAGGTGATAAGAGACTCTGAGAGGGAGAGAGAGATGAAGAACGGCGTTAAGGATATGCCTTCCCACGTTGTGCATACGAGAGAGAGATAGAGAAAGAGAGGAAAAGATAGAGAGAGGGAGAGAGAGAAGGAGCGAGAATAAAAGAGAGGGACAGAGAGATAGAGAAAAAAAAGGGGGCAGGGTAGGAGCAATGCTATCAAGTCTGCAAGCAATGGGAACAGGGACAAGGGAGAGGATGATGATGAGGATGAGGATGATGACGAGTGAATATGCTGACAGATGAGGATGCAGTAGGGATGAGGATGACAGGTGAAGATGCTGACAGATGAGGATGCAGTAGGGATGAGGATGACAGGTGAAGATGCTGACAGATGAGATGAAGTCACGGTGATGCCTACGTTTGCCTCTGTGATGTACTTGGCCATGCCACGCTCAATGATGTCACGCTCAGCCTCCGCCTTGCTCAGCGCTTCCTTCATCTCCTTTGAGTGACTTTTGACCTTGTCTAGCTCCTGCCGCTGGCTCCCTTCTATCGTCTCCAGCTTGTGCACCTGCCGCCACGGATATGGAACGAGCATCAGGGAATTGTTCATTCATTAATTATTTAGTTGTTATTAATAATCAATCAACAATTTAACAATAAATCAATATCAATTAATTAGGTGTTATTTACGATAAATTAATGAATTAATTATAATGAATAAATTAATGAACAATTAGCAATGACAACACATGTGTGGAATTGTGGGCGAGCGAGAAATCTCCGCACACGTGCGGTACCTTTTGTAGCGCCCTCTGGAGTTCAACGTTCTTCATTCGCAGTTTCTCGTCGATGGACTTTAATATCGGCGAATCGCACGACTCTGACTTTGAGGCGAACCTGCCGAAGCCGGAGAAAACAAACATGGCAGAATGCCCGGTGAGTGATCCGTCGTCACATCCACGCAGATGCGCCAAAGTCTTCCCCCGCTCGCGATTCAAAGTTTCAAAAGTTCAAAAGTTTCATATCTGACTATCGAGGCTGATGAGCTAGCCAATCGGCGCTGCGATAGGACATTCCGGCCACGGAGTCTGCCGACTTCGGACCGCGCGCTCGCGAGAAAAAAAACGCGCGGCTCCGATCACACGCCACCGGCCCAGGCAACGACATCCGAGGCAGGAATGCGCTTCACCCCACCTGCACAGACAGCTCGACCATGGGTCCAGCGAGGGGGGACAGGGATCTCCCTCAATCTCTTACTCTCTCTCTATCTCTTACTCTCTCTCTCTCTCTCTCTCTCTCTCTCTCTCTCGCTCTCTCACTCTCTCACTCTCTCCGGGAGACCTTACCTGTCCGAGTGCACGCTCTTCGTGTAGGTGAACCCGACGAACGGTAGGTCCTTGCCGACGAATCCTCGGCGCGCACGGTAGTCGTCGAGGCACGGCCGCGGCGCCTCTCGCTCAAACTCGTCAAAGTTGGACGTGTCGTCCTGACCCTTCACGATCGGGACAAACGGCGGCACGGCTGAAGACGAGAGCATCCGTCAATTGAGAAGCCGTCCCAGGGTGAGAGGCTAAGAAAGCCGCGGCCGGGGCGGGCGGGCTATGGTGGAGAGACTCGAAGGACGAATAAATCTTGGGGAGGAAAAATTCGCGGTGTGATGGTCCGGTAACATGGAATAAAAGTGGTGAAAGCTACGCTCCAGGATCGCAGAAGAACGCAAACCAGATTTCAGGTATGCAGAAGAAAAACGCACCGTACTCTCCGGGGACATGAATAAAACCCCCTCGACTCTCTAAAAATGTGGAACAAAAATTGCTGTACTTCGGAAACGCGGATAAACATCCTCTTCCTCCCCCAACCCTAACCCGCGTCAATTACCGCGGGAAGGTACCACCCGACGACGAACACCAGGGGGAGCTACTGCCTGGCGTCCACTGCCGCGGGACGGCGCGATCGCGCGTACTCACTCCCACGGATGCTGTCGAAGTCGACTGAGCGGAAGAACGCATGCTGGCAGAGCTGCTCATAGCCGAGACGCTGGTTCGTGTCAGCTAGCAGGCCCGAGATGAGCGCCCGCATCATCGCCGACACGTCGCCATCATCCGGAAAACGCAGGCTCTTCTACGGAGAGACAAACGAATGAGAGGGTTACCGTTCTCTCCCCCATCTTCACGCTCTCTCTCTGTCTCTCTCCCAACCTCCCCATCGCTCGCTCTCCCTCTCTCCCCACCTTCCCGCTCTCGCATTTTCTTTTCTATGCCTCTCTCTCATTCATGCTCTCTCTCCCTATCTTCACTCTCTCCCAGCTATCTTCGCATTCTCTCTCTCTCTCTCTCTCTCTCTCTCTCTCTCTCTCTCTCTCTCTCTCTCTCTCTCTCTCTCTCGAGGAGGAGGAGGAGAGGAGGAGGAGGAGGAGGAGGAAGAGAGGAGGAAGGAGAAGGAGAGGAGAAGAAGGAGAAAGAGGAGAGAGAGGGGAGAAGGAGAAGGAGAGGAGAGAAGGAAGAAGAAGAATGGAAGAAGAAGAAGAAGAAGAAAGAAAGAAGAAGAAGAAGAAGAAGAAGAAGAAGATAAAGAAGAAGAAGAAGAGAAGAAGAAGAAGAAGAAGAAGAAGCAGAAGAAGAAGTACCTGTGTACGTATCCCATCAGGTGAAGACTGTGGATGGCCAGCACCATCTCGGCTAAGTAGAACCTCGCCATGTCCTCCTCCAATATATCATCGTACCTGCGGTCGGTCGGTCGGTCGAAAGACACACGCGTCAGATGCAAAACGAACATCCATGCAGCCGACCAAATCCATTAAAGACAATTGAAATATCTAAACTGACTGAATATGCGGATGAAGAAATTAATTTCTCGCCGGTGGGCGACCCACAGCCAGTCGCAGTACTTGTTTAAAATACTTGCCGACAGATGGCAGCACGTTACGATTTCCCCTATCCTCAACTGGGTGTTGCTATCCCCCGGGCGTGGAGGGAGGTCACGTGATAACGTTGACGATGACGTTCAAAACGTTAACCCTAACGTTAACCCTCACTTCAAACACCGCCAAACTAACCTTCACACTAAATATATATGTGTCGCCGCGCTATATATAGCAGTGTTATCCACAAAAATTAATCTATGGGTGTGGGACAGATATCATGATGCAAAACCCTAACCCTACCAATACTACCCGAACCCTAACCCTAATCCTAACCCTAACCCTAATCTAACCCATAACCCTAACCTAAACCCTAACCTTAACCCTAATCCTGAACCTAACCTCCTAATCCTAACACTATTTCTAACACTAGTGCTTTGGCCA